AACTCTATCTTTTCAATGGTAGAAAAGCATGGATGTTACAGATACTAAATTTTCAAGTCATAATTTCTATAAAGTAGAACACTCAAACTATTGAGTGGTAGCAACAAAATTAAAAAACAAGTTACTCTATATTTCAATTCTATGCAGTATAAACACCATAAATGGTATATAAAAATATTTTTTTATGATGTATACAAGTTTGATAATTTTTGCCTACTGAAAAGATCGAGTAATTACTGTACTCTGAGTACAACAAGAGAGCATTCACATCAAGAAGAGCCGAGGTCTAGCAAGGCCAAGACCTTAATATGGCAGACCTACATGAAAGGAAGGCCGCCTAATCCTTGAATGGTCTCTCAATGACATTCATGTGGTATTCACTGAGAGACCATTAAAGGATTACGTGGTCTTCCTTTCATGTAGGTCCGCCATATTTAGGTCTCGGCCTTGCTAGACCTCAGCTCTTCTCGATGTGAATGCTCACCAATAGCACAGTGGTAAGTCATTAACATACCAGATATATATGTCCTTGATATGATTTCATTATATTCACACACTGACAGGTCCTTTTCACATCAAACAGAATGCTTTGGTGATACAGTCTATACAGGTAAACTTTAAGAGAGCCTTGAATCTAATTATACTAAAGTTTTTTTTTTACATTTTACACTCTATGGGGCTGTTCCAACAACCTCTATCATACTAGCTGGATCGATCTAACTCTTTGGGGATTCTTGCTAAATTGCATTCAGTTTAAGCGTCTTAAACATCTGGCACGTCCTCTAGTTATTTATAGTATTTGGTAAAGTCGGGAGATTATTGTTTCCATGATGTTGTTGCAAGGGGGTGTGCTAGACAGTTAGCTAATTACTTTGACTGTGCCTTAGCAAGATATTCATGCCGAGGTAAATCAGTCCTGCTAGTTGGATAAGGTTATGGGAAAGTAGTGTTTTACAAGCGTGTTTCCTTCTGTTTGGGTAATACTGGCCATGTTGAGTTCAGGCTCTGCTGACATGACTCTGTTTCCAGGCTAAGTTGTCAGTTTCTAAAAACAAAGATATATATATATATATATATTTGCTCAAAGAATCTTTAGTAAATTCAATTAAGTACCAGTATACTGAGTGATGTGAAAAGGGGTACAGAGATCAAATCCTTGGCACAAAATAATAAGAGACAAGTACAATGAAACTCAAATATTTAAAATCATAAATATTTAAAATCGTTACTGGTATGAAGCACAAAATTCTCATTACATATACTAATTGCCAAAATTTGCTCAGATAAAATATCTTAACATATAGTAACAAACTTCAAGATCAATAGCTCATATATGTCATACTTTAAAAGAATTTTTATGATATATGTTCATCTTAATGACCAGCATTCCACCAGTATTTTATATATATATATATATATATATATATATATATATATATATATATATATATATATTTGGATAAGGTTATATATATGGAGTGAATAGGAAGAGATCAGCCAGCCATTTAGGTACATGAACAGATCTGAATAACATCATAGGTATCATCATTTTTATCATTTTTATAGTTTTGATAAACTTTTCCATTAAAACAGATATTAAATAAATAAAAGATATATGCAACTGTAATACAGATATGTCCCTGTTAACCAAAATCAATCATAAAAATGACCACAAAGATTATATCTATTCATGTATAATAATAATTGTGTATTCTTAATGATGTATAATACATATAAGTAGTAAACACTAACAGACAACAGGCAAGCCAAACATTATTTGTGCATTCATTGATTAGTTTTCATGAATAACTGAAAATGTAATATCTCGACAAAATTTGATGATCAAAAAATTTTAGAGTAATCATCTCATTACGACAGTGATTAAATAAGTGCATGTTTCCATTAAACTATCGTTCTGCATAGATCAAACTTCAAGGGTACTCTTGCTGAGTGCAGTCATACGGCATCTGGAAGCCTTTTCACTTTGTACTGAGTGCAACTAAATACAAACAAAAGTAAATCACCCCCTGGCTTCTTGCAGAGGCATGCTATTCACCTGACTGCATTCAGCGAGAGTCTCCGACTTGACTTGGATCGATCTTTGTAGAATGATAGCTTCATTGGGAATTAGGTAATAACCCATGATCAAAATTTAAAAAAAATATTAATAAAAATAATTATAAAAATAAATAAATAAAAAATGCGGAAGCAACTTAGCTGGATCTGTAATTCATCCCAAGCCTACTGCATATTTAACCCTCGACCTTTTCAGGTTCACAGGACAAATTTTACATTTCTAAACACACATTACAGTCTTCATTTTTTGATGGTTCAATACATCTACAACTTTGGTACATTTTGCAGTAACAGTAACTTTTTCTTGTCATACACTGAATAAAATTGCTGTGTGCGAGTGCGTGTATGTGTGTTCATGCATGCGTGCATGCATGCAAACATGATCTTTTTCCATACTAGTCTATAAATACTCTTTCCAGATACAGTTACCGTAATTACTTAAATACAGTAAAAATAAAAGTTACTCATTGACATTTTCTTCACCTATTTTGAAACAAACTGAAGGCCATTTCTTCACTTGTACTGGCTCTTCCTTCCCTGGGTAGAGCAGCATAATCTTGTCCTTGGAGAGGGTGTAGCCTTTCCTACGTGAGCCTTGCTTAAATTCTAGTACAGGCCCAAAAGACTGCCCACAGGTGGATTTCACACAAATTGACACACCTAAAGCAAAATAAATCAGAATTGTTCACAAATAGTAGCCCAATCCATACGTACACCAATTGACAGTTCTTATCAGGTCCCTGTATCTCGAAAGCATCGCGTATTGCGAATAGCAATACCACTTAGAGGCTACAATGTATTATATGGGGCGAGTATGGGCGAGCTATGAGTTATGGAATCGAGACGCTTGCGCACTGTTGCAATGCGCGATGCTTTCGAGATACGGGGCCCTGGTCAATTAATCAAACTTGCACAGTTAAGAAAATAACTTAATGCTATCTAGTTATTTAAAAATTATTATATTCATTCTTAAAACTGGCATTTAATTCATCTGTTTAAAGATGATTCCATCAAAGGCATATAGTCTGTGTGAGACCATAGTAATCCCATGTATAATAGAATAATCAAATGGAAAATTCAGTAATTTTCTTTTACCACCAAGATATAGCCTATAATGATAAAGATACACTCAAATTGACTGATGAAAATACAGTCTACAAACCTACTCTAAGACTGGGTTCCCGTACTTAGATCGATCCATCTGGATCAACCTAACACCCTGGGGGTTCACGCTAAATTGCTATCAGCTCAAGAGGCTTAAATGTATGTCACGCCTACAAATTCAGCTAGGGGTAAAGGTAATTATCCCCAAATGTGACAGACGTTTAGGCCGGCTAGTTTGATTGCAATTTAATGAGACTCCCCAGAGAGATAGATCCATCCAAGTATCTGTGGGAATAATCACTAAATGTCTACAAGTTCCTTTTTTGCTGACACACAAAAAAAACAAACGAAAAAGTCTCTCTTTCTCTCTTCAAGAGTGACTGCAATACTAGATTTTTTTCACTCAAAAACTAAAAACCTGGTGTATGTATAGAACATAATTTTGTGAACTGTGAAGAGTTAACCATGGTGAGAAAGAGAAATGCCTTGAACTTTCCAAGAATTTGAGACTTTAACTGTATAAAGGGTCTAATGCTCAGTGTATACTTTAATCAAGCAGATGCATGTACTGTAGAATATATTGACTCACCAACTTGTGCATCTGTTCTAAAGTCTCTTCTTCTTATTTTTTCCTCTCTAATCTTCTTTGGAAAGTCTGGGTCTACACAAATATAGTGACTTCCCTTTTTAATGATAAAATTTCCTGCAATAAAAAAGTTAGCAGCATAATAATATTATTTGTACTTCTATTTATTTTTATATCTAAGGAGTACAAATTACTCCAATGAGGTATTTGGTTGTCATTTTTAAATTAAAATCTCTCTCTCTCTCTCTCTCTCTCTCTCTCTCTCTCTCTCTCTTCAAACCAACTCACCTCGGCATAAAACAGCTTTGCATTCTTTACATAGAACTTGAACATATGTCCCATCATCCAGTTCTGACTGTCTTGCATTACTCTGAGCTTGTGCTTGAAGATGACTGCCCCACAGCTCATCCTTAAATTAATGCAATTTGTACAAAAAAGTGAAAAGACAAAATGGCTCATAAGGACTTTTTAAAATCCAACCACCTTGCACTTTGGGTTTGTTTGAAGATATCGCATAGTTCATTCTTAAATGCAATCTGTACAAATAAGGAAAATGGCAAAAGGAGTCCTACAGACTGCTTTTTAAACCCAACTTGCAGGAGTACATGTACAGCACTCAATAATGAAAACAATAAAAAAAAAAAGGCAAAGGAAATCTCTGGGTCATACCATCAGAAAGGAAGGAATAGAAAAGAAGTAAAGGAAGACATAGAACATCATATACTGACAGCTAGCCTAATGCCATTGCAACAAAACAATGCCTGTCCAACAACGAGCTTATCCAATCTACTGAAAAGTGGAGGACCAAGATGGCACCAGGCCTTACACTTGAAGAAGACCCTTTGCTTTAAAAAACAAGGCAGCAAAGCTGTCAAATGTACAGACAAAAAACAGAAAATAAAGATGCAAAAAAAGTTCATTTTGTCAATTTTGATGCAATAATAAATAATGCTTATAATAGCACTGTCAGTCAACACTGAATTTTAATCATGCACAACAGGTAACATGGTCAATAACAGGAGCGGACCCTGAGATATTTTCTGACAGTATTCCAAAGTATCTATGTTGATCGATCCTCCANCTGAGGTCTAGCAAGGCCAAGACCTAAATATGGCAGACCTACATGAAAGGAAGGCCGCCTAATCCTTGAATGGTCTCTCAATGACATTCATGTGGTATTCACTGAGAGACCATTAAAGGATTACGTGGTCTTCCTTTCATGTAGGTCCACCATATTTAGGCCTCGGCCTTGCTAGACCTCAGCTCTTCTCGATGTGAATGCTCACCAATAGCACAGTGGTAAGTCATTAACATACCAGATATATATGTCCTTGATATGATTTCATTATATTCACACACTGACAAGTCCTTTTCACATCAAACAGAATGCTTTAGTGATACAGTCTATACAGGTAAACTTTAAGAGAGCCTTAAATCTAATTATACTAAAGTTTTTTTTTTTTTTTTTTTTTTTTACATTTACACTCTATGGGGCTGTTCCAACAACCTCTATCATACTAGCTGGGTCGATCTAACTCTTTGGGGATTCTTGCTAAATTGCATTCAGTTTAAGCGTCTTAAACATCTGGCACGTCCTATAGTTATTTATAGTATTTGTTTAAGTCAGGAGATTATTGTTTCCATGATGTTGTTGCAAGGGGGTGTGCTAGACAGTTAGCTAATTACTTTGACTGTGCCTTAGCGAGATATTCATGCCGAGGTAAATCAATCCTGCTAGTTGGATAAGGTTATGGGAACGCAGTGTTTTACAAGTGTGTTTCCTTCTGTTTAGGTAATACTGGCCATGTTGAGTTCAGGCTCTGCTGACATGACTCTGTTTCCAGGCTAAGTTGTCAGTTTCTAAAAACAAAGATATATATATATATATATATATATATATATATATATATATATATATATCTTTGCTTAAAGAATCTTTAGTAAGTTCAATTAAGTACCAGTATACTGAGTGATGTGAAAAGGGGTACAGAGATCAAATCCTTGGCACAAAATAATAAGAGGCAAGTACAATGAAATTTAAATATTTAAAATCATAAATATTAAAGTCGTAACTGGTATGAAGCACAAAATTCTCATTACATATACTAATTGCCAAAATTTGCTCAGACAAAATTTTTAACATATAGTAACAAACTTCAAGATCAATAGCTCATATATGTCATACTTTAAAAGCATTTTTATGATATATGTTCATCTTAATGACCAGCATTGCACCAGTATTTTATATATATATATATATATATATATATATATATATATATATATATATTTGGATAAGGTTATATAAATGGAGTGAATAGGAAGAGATCAGCCAGCCATTTAGGTACATGAACAGATCTGAATAACATCACAGGTATCATCATTTTTATAGTTTTGATAAACTTTTCCATTAAAACAGATATTAAATAAATAAAAGATATATGCAACTGTAATACAGATATGTCCCTGTTAACCAAAATCAATCGTAAAAATGACCACAAAGATTATATCTATTCATTTATAATAATAATTTTGTATTCTTAATGATGTATAATAAGAAGTTAACATTAACAGACAACAGGCAAGCCAAACATTATTTGTGCATTCATTGATAAGTTTTCATGAATAACTGAAAATGTAATATCTCGACAAAATTTGATGATCAAAAAATTTTAGAGTAATCACCTCATTACGACAGTGATTAAATAAGTGCATGTTTCCATTAAACTATCATTCTGCATAGATCAAACGTCAAGGGAACTCTTGCTGAGTGCAGTCATACGGCATCTGGAAGCCTTTTCACTTTGTACTGAGTGCAACTAAATATAAACTTAAGTAAATCACCCTCTGGCTTCTTGAGGAGGCATGCTATTCACCTGACTGCATTCAGCGAGAGTCCCCGACTTGACTTGGATTGATCTTTGTAGAATGATAGCTTCATTGGGAATTAGGTAATCACCCATGATCAAAATTTCAAAAAAAAAAAAAAAATTAATAAAAATAATTATAAAAATAAATAAATAAAAAATGCGGAAGCAACTTAGCTGGATCTGTAATTCATCCCAAGCCTACTGCATATTTAACCCTCGATCTTTTCAGGTTCACAGGACAAATTTTACATTTCTAAACACACATTACAGTCTTCATTTTTTGATGGTTCAATACATCTACAACTTTGGTACTTTTTGCAGTAACAGTAACTTTTTCTTGTCATACACTGAATAAAATTGCTGTGTGCGAGTGCGTGTATGCGTGTTCATGCATGCATGCATGCAAACGTGAGCTTTCTCCATACTAGTCTATAAATACTCTCTCCAGATACGGACTACTGTAATAACTGAAATATAGTAAAAATATAAGTTAATCACTGACACTTTCTTCAACTATATTGAAACAAACCGAAGGCCATTTCTTCACTTGTACTGGCTCTTCCTTCCCTGGGTAGAGCAGCATAATCTTGTCCTTGGAGAGGGTGTAGCCTTTCCTACGTGAGCCTTGCTTGTATTCTAGTACAGGCCCAAAAGACTGCCCACAGGTGACAGTCTGTCTGCAAATTGACACACCTAAAGCAAATTAAATAGGAATCATTCACAAATAGTAACCCAATGCATACGTACACCAACTGACAGTTCTTAGGTCAATTAATCAAACTTGCAAAGTTAAGAAAATAACTTAATGCTATCTAGTTATTTTAAAATGATTATATTCATTCTTAAAACTGGTATTTAATTCATCTGTTTAAAGATGATTCCATCAAAGGCATATAGTCTGTGTGAGACCACTCTAAGACTGGGTTCCCATACCTAGATCGATCCATCTGGATCAACCTAACTCCCTGGGGGTTCACGCTAAATTGCTATCAACTCAAGAGGTTTGAATGTCTGTCACGCCTACAGAATCAGCTAGGGGTAAAGATAATTACCCCCTAACATGACAGACGTTTAAGCCGGTTAGTTTGATTGCAATTTAATGAGACTCCCCAGAGAGATAGATTGATCCAAGTATCTGTGGGAATGGTCCCTAAATGTCTTCAAGTTCCTTTTTTGCTGACACACAAAAAACAACTAAAAAGTCTCTCTCTCTTCAAGAGTGACTGCAATACTAGATTTTTTTTCACTCAAAAGCTAAAAAAACTGGTGTATGTATAGAACATAATTTTGTGAACTGTGAAGAGTTAACCATGGTGAGAAAGAGAAAGAGAAATGCCTTGAACTTTCAAGAATTTGAGACTTTTACTGTATAAAGGTTCTAATACTCAGTGTATGCTTTAATCAAGTAGATGCATGTACTGTAGAATATATTGACTCACCAACTTGTGCATCTGTTCTAAAGTCTCTTCTTCTTATTTTTTCCTCTCTAATCTTCTTTGGAAAGTCTAGATCTACACATATATAGTGACCTCCCTTTTTAATGATAAAATTTCCTGCAATAAAAAAGTTAGGGCAGCCATAATAATATTATTATTTCTACTTCTATTTATTTTTTTTTCTAAGCAGTACAAATTACTCCAATGAGGTATTTGGTTGTCATTTAATTCTCTCTCTCTCTCTCACTCTCTCTTTCTCTCTCTCTCTTCAAACTAACTCACCTCTGCACAGAAAAGCTTTGCATTCTTTACATAGAACTTTAACACCTGACCCTTCCAGTTCTGACTGTCTTGCACTACTTTGGGCTTGTGCTTGAAGATGTCTGCCCCACAGTTCATTCTGAAATTAATGCAATTTGTACAAATGAGTGAAATGACAAAATGACTCTTAAGGACTTTTTAAAATCCAACCACCTTGCACTTTGGGTTTGTTTGAAGATATCTCATAGTTCATTCTTAAATGCAATCTGTACAAATAAGGAAAATGGCAAAAGGAATCCTACAGACTGCTTTTTAAACCCAACTTGCAGGAGTACATGTACAACACTCAATAATGAAAACAATCAAAAAAAGGCAAAGGAAATCTCTGGGCCATACCATCAGAAAGGAAGGAATAGAAAAACTTGTTCTCTAAGGGAAAACTGAAGGAAGAAGAAGTAAAGGAAGACATCATATATAGAACATCATATGCTGACAGCTAGCCTAATGCCATTGCAACAAAACAATGCCTGTCCAGGCCCGTAGCCAAGGGGGGTTCGGGGGGTTCGAAAGAACCCCCCTTTCTGCTGGAAAAAGGTCAACTCTGGGTAAAATTTGACCAAGGTACATGGGGATTATATGGTAAAAGGTCCACTTTTTCAGAAAAAGAACCCCCCCCCCTTTCAAATTGCTGGCAACGGGCCTGCTGTCCAACAACGAGCTTATCCAATCGACTGAAAAGTGGAGGACCAAGAAGGCACCAGGCCTTACACTTGAAGAAGACTTTACTTTAAACAAGGCAGCAAAGCTGTCAAATGTACAGACAAAAAACAGATAATAAAGATGCAAAATAGGTCATTTTGTTAATTTTGATGCAATAATAAATAATGCTTATAATAGCACTGTCAATCAACACTGAATTTTAATCATGCACAACAGGTAACATGCTCAATAACTGGAGCAGATCCAGAGATATCTTCTGACAGTATTCCAAACTTTATTTGTTGATCCATCCTCCACTTTTGATGGTCTTCCAACAGAAAAAAATTGATACCAGTCAATGTAAACTTTAAAATCTGACCGTCATCTGAAAGACCCAGAAGACGGCCTCAATCCACCCCTGCAATAAGATTACAGTTTCTGGACCATGAGAGTTCAAATTCACATAATGATAATCCCAATATTTGAAAAATGTTGACAGTGCATAAAATAATATTACATAATGTTTAAAGACATAAAAACCTATGCAACTGCTTATGTGGAAATACAGAAAATCTGAAGAGCTTCAGGTGGATGGGAGTTGAAAATGCCAGTGTTTAGAAAAAAATTAAAAAGAAAACACAAAAAAAAAANTAAACAAGGGAAGAAATGCAGACTCCACCAGAAGCCACCGACACCGACACAAGTGGGAATGTACTAGAGAGTCTCTGAGCTTATCATATCAATGTCCGGGACAAAGACTGCTTCCATTTTTTTAAAATTCTTGCAAGAAGTGGCTGAAGCCTGAGAAAACGCGATTATTTCACAACAGGTGAATTATTAGGAGGAGACAAAAATGATATTAATATAATCATTGTTAAAACCTTTGGTGATCATCATATTAACATATTAAACAATACAGGCAAATGATACTCCATCTTATATAATCTTTAACTGTCCTACCTGTTTCTCCTTAATATTTCTCCTCACTTCCTCAGGGTCCAGTTTGTCAAAGTCTTTCAGTGCCTCCAACATGGCATGCTCCTTTGACATGTTCTTATACTCTCTGTCAGCATTGATTGAACCATCTGGCACAATGAGATAGCACTCGCTCTCCTTGGCCCTTGCACGGCCTTTCGACTGAACCGATCCAATCTCGTTGCTAACAAAGTTGTACCGAATCATCAAGTTGCATTTTGGGATGTCTAAACCCTCCTGCGCGACATCTGTGGCAACAAGAAGGTTTATTCCATCAGGTTCAGCCAGACCTGTTGAAATTAATGCATTTTGCTATATTGAAGGAATATGATAAATGCAGTAAATCCATAATATCACACACACACATATACCATTATTGTGCATGAATGTTCCCATCAGAATTTAACACTCTATAAACTGTATATATAAATGACAGGTGAAGTGGTAAGTTGAGATTTACATTATTTTTACATAACATTTCATTTTAAATCTATAATATTCATAATTCATTATATTATTACATACATTAGATTGCATTTAGATTATTTTTGGTGACATAAATTTATGGTATCTATCTGTGAGAAAATTATCACACAGTATTACTCATCCTTATGTAAGAGGTACGTGGTATATGTACCTTTCAGTAAAAATTTGACTGTTGATATTTACAATCTTAGACTTTATCCCTCTAAGCAAGCCTATGTACACAGGCCTGCAGCCATTTTTTTTTCTTTTTTTTTTTTTTTGGGGGGGGGGGGTTCAACCCTGTACTTGCCATGAAAAGGTCCCTGCTAGGTAAAAATTTATCTAGGCACACTAAGGTTTCATGGTATAAGGCCCACCTTTTCAGAAAAAGAATCCCCCTTTTGAAATTGCTGGCTACGGGGCTGGTACATTTGCAGGACATCTTAATTATAAAGTTTCAACTTGGTGGGAAAAAATAGAAAAAAAGGGGACCTTTTTTGAAGGCCTTGATCACTTTCTGCTGCTGGACATCGGTCATACTGGTGTCTCCGCTCTGCCCCGTCATCCTCCCCACACGCACCAATCTCTGGTCAACGTTTTCCTGAATGCACCTCTCCAAGGCAGAGCAACCTTCTCTGGTTCTTATAAGAACGATTCCTGTAACACGAAAGATGCAGAATTAAAATGTGTATTACAGGAGATAATCTTTTATGTTCATACTACAGCATGTTTCAGATTCTGACGCTTTTGGGATTCTTAGAATTTAAACAATAAAATTAGAGCACCTTTGTTAAAAAACAAATAATATAAATATTTGTACCAATTGTTTTGAATTGTGTCTCAGAGACACCTTTGGATAAGATGACCTACCTGTAGGTCTGTTTAAAATGAAAAAAGGAACAAAAAATAAACCTAAAATAATAAAGTTTAAATTATCAAACCATAACACACCCCTAGATTCTGGATTTTTTTCAAACTGTTCAGTTAGCAGCCTGTACAACTCTTCCAGCATTTTATTTGATGTTGGAGACTCTGCCTCACAATGGGATTGCAGTCTTCTATACTGGCTCATAAACCTTCCCTTTAACTTTGTTTCTACCTCAGGTGACTGTGAAAAAATAATTCCTTTCATTAATACATGACCAAATATGTTTAATATAAAAACCAGTGCTCTTTTTTAAGATTATGAGTTTGTTGGTAAATCAATCTCAATATTGCTTACTATATAGATATTATTTCAGAATCTATATATTTCATAAATTTCACCTACCTCCTATAACCTCATATCCCAATAATTAAAAAATAATAATACTGCCATTAACTTTTGACAGTGGACTTATCAGAAATTTCAGATTACATTTTGATACATCAGGATGTACAAAATAAAATTTTCTGAGTAAACACTAAAAGCAATCCAAGCCAAGATTTTGAACGCAATCTTAGTGCATGAATCGCTTCTTTTTTAACTTACCCAAGGACAATTAAAACATTTAAAATATGTATTAACAGATAAATGGCCTTAATCAAGGTGGCAAAAAAAAATTATATATATATATATATATATATATATATATATATATATATATATATATATATATATATATATATATATATATATTCTGTTCTTGCCAACCTCAGTAGTCAATCATCTTGACACAGTTTGAAAATAATGCATGTTCTTGAGTCAGGTCCTGCACCAAAGTCTCCTTAAAGCACAGGTTTTGATCTTTTGTTTTTTTTTTCAATATTTCGTTTTTTGCAGAGTTATGGCAAATGTCAGAAAAGGAAGATTAAAGGTTGATAACTTGGGGGGGGGGGGGGACATGTTGTTTACCCTGGAAAAATTCATTTAATATGAGTGTATGGTGGAAAAATCTTGGCTTCGAAGGCTTCAAGTTTCACTTACCTCACTGTGAATACTGCGGTCATCATTTTCCAGTATCTTTTTTGTTAGGAATTCCAGGGCATCTTTTCCTCTCAGGTCATCGTACAACATAAGAGCAGAATTCAGATCTCTCAGAAATCGACAAGTTATGACTGTATTACGCATTTCAGGTGTATGAAGCGCTTGGCGCTCGGCTTCATTTCTATTTTCAATGACCCAATTTTCGTACCCCTGACTGCCCTTATCAAACTTCTTGGACAACTCCATGGGAAAGCTGACTTCCTTTTCACTTGCTTCCATCATTTGTTTTACCATTAAGATGAAGGGATTATCAGACGAACGAGGCTGTACCAGTTTGATCTGATCTGTTTTGGGTTTGGGGTTAATGCAAAGCAGCTCTTTTTCATTCACTGGGTTCCTCACATGACTGATGGTGAAGCAGTCTAAATTGGCGCAGACCCGATAATAATGCTGCAGAGGATTGTTCCCCTTTCCAGTGCCCAGCGAGGCTGAAAGCCCAATAATCTGAGGAAGGCACTCTGTAGACTCCCCTCTTTGCTCTCGATTCTTTTTCTCCGTCATGTACAACCTCATTATCATGTTGTATGGGTGATCCAAATCTGTGTGATGACACTCGTCCATTATCATTAGGTCGAAATCGGTGATTTTCACATCTCCTTCTTTGATATCATTGACGAGAATCTGTGCTGTAAGCATCACAATGTCATTGTTCAACAAACATGTCTTCAAATTGTCCGAAGTCTGACTTATGGCACCAACTATTTTATCCTGGGGCGGGAAAATGGTTTGAAAGGCATCTTTTTGCTGCTGGATTAGATTTCGAATACAAACGATGAAAACTGCTTTGAATTTCTGGCCATTTTTCAGCACCTGGCTTCTTCTGATGCGAGAGATATATGCTGCAGTCAGGGTCTTGCCACTTCCAGTTGGGGCGCAGATGATGGTATTTGTACCTTCTATGGCCTCGTTGGCCAACTCGCGCTGATATTTACGCAAAGAAAATTTCTTCTTTGTTGGGACACCATCTTGGACAAGATGCTCCAGAGGGACAGACGCCTGTCTGATTATGCCTTCATTTCTTTCTGTCATTTCACCTGCTGCCTCTACCACTGGTTCACTACCAATGAACACTGCTTGAGCTAAAAGATAAAAATTAAGATCAATGACAGAATTATGATACTAGATCCTAATTACAAGGTATAATTGCTATGACAGTAATATATATTTTATTTAATAGAAATGATTTTCATCACAAAATTTATAAAAACAAATATAATAATTAGGAACAGCATATACAATTTTAAGCACGTGAATGGAGGTGCAAACTCATCTCATATTTGAAAGATACACATGCATCTAACCAAAAGCAATACCCTTAAATAATTGCAATTACAAATTCTAAACCAGAAGTATATTTTATTTAAAATATGCGTTTTTATCAATATAATAATTCCTATGAAACATTCATAAAACACTAGAATTATTTTTTAAAAGATGAAATGAAAAACAAAGAAAGTCCTAGAATGGTTTAATTGAGCTAAGCCAGGGCATATCATACCCCGTTCACACTGCAGTCATTTAACCGGTTAAATAGCGAATTAGGTCAAGATTCGAATTATTGCGGTAGTCTGAACGCATGAGGATTTTTGTAAACCGGTTTCCAAAAATCCTACTAGCGAGCTGGATTCTCTCCAGCGATTCGGTTACTTTACCGGAAGGGCCACCTGTTTAGATCGCACTGCGCATGCACTAGCAAATCTCGCGGGAAAGAAAAGCAACATGCCAGGTCAGTGGACCCACACTCTCCATCGAAACCCAGCTATTCTCCTTCTTGTATCCGTCAAATTCTTCCAGATCTTACTTAAATCTCCCTTTTGACGACTTTTGGGTTAAATTTGATGTTCCAAAAACAAATACACGAGAAAAAAAACTGAGTGCGAGAAGAGCAATGATTGGCGCTATATTTTTGTTTTCATGGATTCTGCGCATGCGCAATTCTTCAAACCGGAACCTCCACCTGAATTTTCAGTGCACGATTCGGTTTCCCTTTGCTGTGTGTGGCCAGAAAATCGAATCGGATTTTTCAACCGTAATTCGCATTGCAAAAATTCGGATATTTCAGATTGTAGTGTGAACGGGGTATGATAAATCAGGAGAGTCAGGTACCTATTTAATAAGTATTTATTTCAAGAAAAGAAAAAAACATTGCTGTGTTGTGCATGCAGCACCAATATAAGACTTATAATAGGATAAACAATTAATATACCGATTAAAAGTTCAGAGTCAAGCCTTTCAGATATTCAAATTTTTCATACATGCAGCTTGTTTTAATTTGCATCTGGAATTCAGCAGCTCTTGATTGAAGTTCATGCATCAGTCACAAATACCTTACAAATCAGTCTATTCAGTGTGGAGTATGTCACATGCTCTTTCACGTCCCAAAGTACATGTACTAGTAGGCACGCTATCCGATTGACTGAATGCGCATTTAAATTTGGGATTAGTGCTGTAAACTTAAATCAAACTTGTCATTGAATGTCGGAGTGCAATAAGCATGCACATACTAGTATAGCAATTTGTAAATGAAGACATGCATTAAACCTAATGCTCAGTATAATCCCATATATTCAGTACATATTCAATCACTTACAGAAATATTTACAAAGTCAGTTTATATAACCGTGTGTCTCATATTTACCTGTAGAAGCACCACATGAAGAATCTTCCTCTAAGTCTTCGCTATCACCATACACTGGCTTGCGTGCAGTTTGTGAACTCAGACTATCAAGAGAAGCTGGAAGTTGGGGTCTTTCAAAGTTGCCAACGCCATCAGACGAGTTAACAACTTTAACAGCTGTCTGCTCACACTGAGGGCCAGAACTGGGGGCATTTCCATCGAAGCCAACTCGCTGTTTTGGAAATGTCTCTTTACTCTCAACATGGTTAGAGAAAGTAAGGCTTGTGTTCCCATTTAAAGGGCTAAGGGGGCTTGCACCAATGTTACGAGTTCCTGGCTGACTGCCAGTTGTTCCTTGGACATCTAAAAGAGGAGATTGTCCACCTGTGCTACCTATTACTGGTTGATTGGCATTTGATAAGCCTGGAGATGACTCTGAATGGAGCAAATGATATCTGTTTGATGGCTTGGCACTTTTCTGAAGCTGAGAATCAGACGATGCTGTATGTAGTGGGAGAGCCTCTTTTTTAGCAGTCTCTTCTCCAGGGCTTTCCACTTGCTGCAAAAGTATTTAATAATATTAATTATTCTGTTATTTTTCCATACTGTGACACAAACTTTAAAACAGCAGAAACTGAAGTTATAATGAGTGGACCTTTTCAACAGCATAAATTATCAGTCTTTCGAAAACATAGTTTTGAAATCATTAATTAAAAACTATTAAAAACTGTTTCTATTAAGCATCTGCTGTGGTACAAATGTATTACAGAATAGAACTATAGGCTAGGCCACATTTCATATTTGTTGCAATCACTCAATAAGAATGTTCTCATTTTAAGAATTAACAACTCAAAAAAAAAGGTTTCTGTTAAATTCACAATTCTCCGCATTGAAAAAAATTAAAGGCACCACTATTTCCCCTCTTGTTTGATGACAAAAATTACTATAAATGTTAGTTGCCTGACTGTAGAAATCACTTTTGTTGGGCAAGTAAAGACAACAGGTACAATGTGTATGTCAAACCCAGACAATAAAAAACCACAGATCTACAGTTAAGGGCTGGCTCTGCAAAGGTATATATATATATATATAGGACCTAGTAATATTACTGGTACATGTATGCACTAATACTGTAGCATGTCAGAAAATTAACAATATACATTTTCCTGCTTTATTGATGAGAGAAATGGCTTAAGTCTTGATATTTTTTCTACTTTACTAATGATTAAGATGGCTTGTTAAATGCTATTAAAACCAGTACTAATATCACTCACCTCTGGATATCTCGCGTCCTTGTCAGGTGCTTGCAATTCAGGGTTCCGCGCTATTAATTGAAAATTATATGCTTAAATTATCAACACCTGATTTTTATCTCTTTTTATGTCTGTGAGTTGTGTCAGGACAGTTCAATACATATGTTAACTGAAGGAATAGAAAATATACATATAACGGTACTAGGGGAGAATCAAACTGTACAAAATAATAATAATAATAATAAATAAATAATTGAATAAAAAATAAAAATAAATTAATTAAAAAAGCCACATCTGTCGAGTAAATCATGTCTAAGCACTCTGATTTAGTTTTTTTTTTATATGCATATTTGCTAATATGTAATTTATAGTACATGTTTATATAAAATTACCAACTAGTGTTACTACATTAATGCATTTGGTCAAATTTTTGAAAGTGAAAGTAGACCAAGAATTCAATAAATTACCACGATCCTCTTCATATTCTTCAATGACTTTTACCAAATCAAGTCGATCGATGTGTTCCATAATTTCCTTGAGAAAACCAACGTCATTAGGTTCAATAAGGTTCCTTTTTTTCATGGCATTCCAAAGCTTCTGAGGGTTTGAAATCTCCTCCAATTCGCCGGCAGGTATTTCATCCTGCAGTGCCAATTTTATAAAATCAAAGTCTGCTGTCTGCAGTTCTTTGCATACACGAATACGCAATTTCGCATATGGTTTTAATCTGATTTTTGATTCAGCCATAATTCTGAAATAACGAAAATAGCGACGACCCTACATCACTTGATTGTTTCTTGGTGTGAAGTTTTCCCTGACAAATTTTCCAGGTTCTAAATTTAGTAACTTTGGAAATAGGTCAAGAATAGTCTTGCAGTGCCCAGTTGATAAAATATTAACAAATATTTTTTCGACAATTTGGTTAAAGTACAATTTTTATTGGCAATGATGGAAATAACAGGAAATTATGAACTAGTTAAACATTATTTCATTGTACTGATTGCCAATCAGATTCTTACAAACATAACACAAAATGGGTCCGTAGTACTGCTTCCTGCCCGCCATATTTGCTCTCTCGAGGCCGGGAGAAAACAACAAAAGCTCCAATGCTCTCTTCATTGGGGAATAGGATTCGTTCATTTATTCAGCCAGAAAAAGAAAAAGATTCCCAAGACTCTCGTGGTGGCAGCAGAAAGCGTCCTGCTAGCAGGTAACGCATTTAAATAGCTACAACACAACCGTATTCAATGTTTCACCTTGCATTTAAATTTACTAGTGATATAGTCCACAGCGTTTCAAATCGAACTAACGAAAATTAAAATTCGTGCAAATAATGAAGTAGCCCCCCTTAATTTTCGCGAGATGCAGATGACAAGCAATTTAATTATCAAAATTAAGTTGGTTCAAACACCACACATGTCGCGGCTTTCGAGTGTTTCCCAGGTTGTACTACTCTACTACTACTACTACTACTACTACTAGTAGTGCTGTATGTTGAAGTGCAGAAGTATCCTAGACCCCATTCCCAGAGATTAGGTCGATCCAACTACATCGACCTAACTCCCTGGGGGTTCACGCTAAATAGCTGTCAGCCGAGCAGGCACGAAAGTTGGTACTTTTGTAGTATACCCCCCCACCCTGTAACTTTCTGTAATTTTCACTTTTCAAACAGTTTTTTACATTTTCTTGTTCATCTATGTCAAAGCTGTTGAAATAAAATGCTTTTGTAATTACCTGTGGACTTTTTATTAGTTTTAATCACGTTTAATCCAGCCCATTGAAATACAATGTTAGAATCTTCAATTTACACCCGCAGTCAATAACTTGCCGCATTTTTGTTGGCTAACTCTAAGGTAATTTTATGTGAACAAGTTGCTCCTAATAATTTCACAGAGGAAGTCCAAGTATACAATGTATCAATCCCATGTTCACATAAAATAAGGTAGAGTTAGCCAACGAATATGCGGCAAGTTATTGACTGCAGGTACATTGTAAATTTTCACATTGTATTTCAATGGGGTGGATTAAACGTGATTAAAACTAATAAAAAGACCAAAGGTAATTACAAAAACATTTTATTTCAACAGCTTTGACATAGGTGAAAAAGACAAAGTAAAAAAATGTTTGAAAAATGAAAGTTTCAGGAAGTTACAGGGTGGGGGGGTATACTACAAAAGTACCCGAAAGTTAATTACCCCCTTACAGCTTGCAGTTGGCGGAACGGACATTTAAGCCGGATTATCTGACAGTAATCTAGTGGGACTCCCCATGGGGATAGATCGTTCTAAAATCTATGGAAATGCTTCCTTAGATGGGGTTTCCATACCTAGGTCAATGTAACAAGATCCTGGGCCTGTTTCTGATGTAGTGTTTACCATCTTTGAATTTCAGTCTTCTTGAAGTAGAAGCGGACCTTATTGAGACACCAGAAAACAAGAGGCAAAAGATCAGTGAAGGGGGTAAGTTGTACATTGCACAGGTAAGGGGCCATCCATTTTTATCATTATTTTCACAAATCTACAAAGAGCACTTTTCCCAGACCCCCTTCAGAGAGATCAAAGTGAAAAGCTAAAAGTGGAGACCTCTGACTGCTATGTGGATCAGCGTATGGTTTGAAGACTACACACACACACACACACACACACACACACACACACACACACACACACACACACACACACACACACACACACACACACACAGACACACACACACACACATTGCATATAAAGGGTAGCTACTTGGGGTTCTTCATTGTGTTACATAAATTGTGTTATAAATATTGTTTCTGTATTTAAGAGGGCGCCCTCAACTTCTTGAAAAATAAGTCTAGCAGAATAGCTTGAGTATATGTAATCTCCCACCTGTTAAGGCTGAAAATTGCCTTACTAGTACATATATGCTAAAACAAAAGGAAAACTCAGTGTCAAAAATATTTTAGTCATCTGTACCTTTCTGCAACAAGGTTCAAGAATCTACTGGTCTCAAACCAACACAGGACCTAAGCAAATTCACCTAGCTTTTACTGGCCAAGTTTCATGTTTACCAGAGTTAGTGTTCATTCCACAGACAGGGAAACTTGAGTAATTATTATATATTAGATTTGCGCTGTTTTTATATTGCAGTTTTCCAAGCCCTCGGTGTACCATTTTCCAAAGTGGCTGAATGGATAGTGAAACAGAAGGACAGCTTTTTAGACAGGTACCATACTAATCCTGAACCCAGGGCCAGGGCCAGGAATAATGAGGTAATAATACAGCATAGGGCTCAGAATGATTGAGAAATGCATTATGGTGTTAAGAAAAAAATATTTATATAGCATTGGGCTTAGAATAATAAGGTCATAAAACAGCATTGGGCTTAGAGTAATGATGTAATTATACAGTATAGGCTCAAAGGCAGAAAGAATGTTATTATGGGATGAGAATTTTCCAAATATTGGCAGTTTTCATACTTTTTGGGACTCCAAAAATATCATTGGCCTAGGCAGCTTATTGGACCCCACGCCATTTTTTTCGACTTTTTGTACAAATTGCAGTCTTATCTTGATTATGGTGTAAGGAGGGGGGGAAAAAGAGGTAATAATTAATACAGCATAGGGCTTTGAATAATAAGGTCCTAATACAGCATTGGGGTCAGAATAACAAGGTTCTGATATAGCATATAAAGATCCAAGTGGAATTGGAATAATCTGAGATAACCCAAAGTCCGGTGACTTAGTGATAATGTAACCAATAAAGCAGGCTAACCAATAAAGCAGGCTAATTCGTGTTAAATTGTGCACATTTCAGTACTTGTCAGATGGTCAGTTCTCCCACTACCGTCCTTCTGATCCTGTGGGAAGAAGTATGGGGATGAGAGTGTCAAGGAGCAACAATGAAGGTATGTGGGAGTGTTTTCTTGCAAATTTATCGTTAGTGAACATTTTTATATAAGCACAGATGACAGAGAATTTCTTTTAAATGTTAAAAATGGTATTCAGAAGCAAAAGACTTATCATGCTCTTTCAAACACACATACATCTCTCCCTCTCTCTCTCTCTCTCTCTCTCTCTCTCTCTCTCTCTCTCTCTCTCTCTGATAAATGCACGTACATGCACAATTGCTAGAAAGAAATAAAATACATGCAAACCTCTATTTTGCATAAAAAGAGGCAACACGAAGTGCATTTGCAAGGCCTTCAATTCATTCAGGAAAATCATTCAACAGTGAAGGTAAAGAGTGTGGTGACTGATAGCACAGTCTAATGCTTGGTGTTTTGGGATTGTTTCGAAAATTTTGGAGAATTGTGCAGTTTTTCTTCATTTGCACCCAGCTTGAACTAAAGAAAGTCTTGGTGAGGTTGAAACGTTGTACTTTGGTTTCATATATATATGTCTTTTGAGAAAAAAATTATAAATTATTACAGGACTTTATTTTGTTGCTTGCTATTTTATAAAAAAATTGATTGGGATGTAATTTTTTTATGGCTTAGTAATTTTTTTTTTTTTTTTTTTTTGAAGATAAAAATTTTACTTTGTTACAGTATTTGATATCTTATCAAATGACAGTAGACAAATTGGGAGTGTCACAGAAGAAAAATAAGGGAACACTGATCTGATATTCCATTTACTAATTTCTGTGGAATATTTGAATAGCTTCAGTTGCCAGTTCTGTTGGTGGCACTTTGGATGCAGCTTGTCTTGTAACTGCTGGCGACACCTTTGGTTTGCAGTGGTGTGCTGTGATTCCACGTTCGGCTGAACAGCTGTGGGCCATGTGTCTGTTTTCAACAGTGTTTGCAGATGTAACACTTCTTTTGGCAGCTACCTACATAGTTGCCCTTTTGCACAACTTTTTTTAACCTCGAAAAATTAACTTTTCTATCAGTGATTGACAAGTAGTCCTTGACTAGCATTGAATAAATTTATCTTGTACAAATATTACTATACTGTGCTAGTAGGCATTTGTTGATGAAACACTTAGGCCTGGAGAGAATGATGGAATATTTAGACCCTGTAAAAAAGAGCCATAAATATCTTAAGTCATTTGATTTGCAGGACTACTGTTCCTATTTTTACTACTCACGCAGAAAATTCATACGAATTAGACAATAAAATCTACAACTTGACATTGGAGAACATTTGATTTGAAGAAACTGTGATCTTGGAATTGTTGGGGATCAGAACCCAAATTTCAATTGCATACTTTTCTTTTGACTGTTTAGTCTTGATCAGATATGTAATCTTTTGTTATCAGTTCTTGATTAAAATTTCTTTGTGAGGCTGATGTGCTTTTCATCATGTAATATTTGAAAAAAGTATGCCCAGACTTATAGAAATGATTTTACTGTTATGTACCCAGGGGTTTCCACTAGATATTTATTATGAATATATTTTATAATACCAGCTGCCAATTTTAATGGTGATATGCATTTGGCATAATGTGCTGTCAGCATAAGCGTAGTTATGATATTAAAATTGTCACTCGAGTGCGATCTATGCTTAGCTTTGAAACACATTTTTAGGCTGTTATATCTCGCACGTAAGGTTTATTATTACACAGGTGAACTGACTGGAGGGACCAGATAAAAATTCTCATGTCAGAAAAGAAGGTCATGTCATTATCACCAGCATCAACATGAAATCATAAAATAGTATATTTCGTGATATACATTATGAGTCTGGAGAGAGATTAATAAAAAATAATGTGTATGTATGCTATCACAGAGGAATAGCTACAGTAACAATGGCCACCAGCTTATGGACCCTTTGTACACGTTATAAATCTTCTGATGCTGTCCATAGGTCAGAGGTCAGAGCCAGAGGAGTGGCATCCTCCACCACCGCCCAATGCTGACATACGCAAGCTGAATCTCTTCCGCTCCTATCCCGTCCCTCCATCCTCATCATCTGCTGCTTCGTCAGCTGGGATGAAACCAGGTCAGGTGGCTTATATTCATTTGCTTTGATTTAGATATTTAAAGGTTGCTAAGAAAAATATAAAAAATTTATTTTAAATTATGTAAACTTCAGGAACTTCAGTAAGATTGTTTTGGTATTGAAGCTTTATTTTGTAGAATTTTGTTTGATTTATAATATTGAAATAATATAATCAGTATTAGGGATCTGTTTTAAATGAAGTGATGCTCTTTTGAATTTTTGAATATTTTGTTTATAACGTGCATTTAAATAAACATTGCTGTTAGTGAAAGGAAATAATGAGCACAAGTGTGAAACATGACTAATTCTTCCTGTTACCATTATTATAAACAGACAGAAGCAGTGGGAGATCAGAGGAAGGCCAACCCCGGGGGTACAGAGAAGGGGGTCGAGGAGACAGACCCCCTGGGTCTAAACCAGGGAGTACAGGACGAGGAGTGGCCCCTCCACGCAGGTTGGCATCACATCTATGTATAGGTTTTCCCACAAGGGTAGTTGCATGAATACTTTAATATGGAAAGGAAAGTTTTCCAAATTTTGGAAATTCAGATATTTGGCTGTTGTGCATTTATGTTCCCAAGACCTCCACTTAATTACTGTATAAGTCATTGTGACAACATTTGTTGTTGTTGTTGTTATTGGCATTTTCATTGATTTGTAGAGGATTTCTTACATGTCTACTTTTTTTAGTAGCTCATTCTTTTTGGTATGCTGACAATGCTGTGATGTTATAATATTTGTAACATAAACATAATTGACCGTTTGTTTGGAAATATTGGAATTTGGCTTGGCTGCTCTAGGGGGCCATTAAAAATAGATGATCTGAGTACTAACTGATCAGCCGACTAAATATGGACGACCACACTTTAAAAGTGATGCCCCTAATTCCATAATGGTCTCCCCGACTCCACACGTGCCATTAAATGGATGAAATCTCAGCTCCCAAGTTTAATTGCTAGGCCCCTGCTGCGACAGCACGTGTGGAGATGGGGAGACCATCATGGAATTAGTGACATCACTTTTGAAGTGGGGTTGGCCATATTTAATCCGCGGATCAGTTAGTATTCGGATCATCTATTCTGAATGGCACCTAGAAATTGCCCATTTGATGTCACAATTCATTTCCTTGTCCCTGAGATCCTTAATGTAATTGCAAAGTGAGGTTTATTGTCATTTATTCACATTTTTATTTTCACATTTTTCCTAGCAGTTCTACCAGGATCCCTTCTGCCACACAGACTCCACAACAGCAGCAGAAGCAATTCATACCGCCCTCTTACAGATCAGTGTTCGAAAAGACTTTTGAGGCGACCCCACAGCAAAATGGCGGAAGTTTCCACATGAGTAATGGCCAGAGTTTCCATCGGACCAGCAGCGGCCAGTCGAGTCGGCTTGCTCCAAAAGTGTACACAGCCAAACAGGTGGGGATTCTTCCGTGTTCTCTGAAGAGGAGAGAATCTATTTTTTTTTTTTTTGTGTTCATCATTTATTTTACTCCTGTTACTGTGAATAATGAAAGCATCAAGAAAATTGTATTGAAGAGAGAGAAGGTTCTTTTTTTGAAACCATTGAAAAGAAATTAATTGTTGGTTAGCCAAGTTACTGAATTTGTTTTATTTATATAAATGACATGAATGAACGCAGTAACTGATAAATCATTTTATAGGTAAGAATTTTTTTCAAATTCTTGCAATATCAAAAGTTTATAAACTTTTTGTACTTGTTGTTTTTTTAGAGAATTCAATTGTGTAAAAATATTTCTAAATGGCTTATGATAAAAAATGACAGGTTGTGTTGTGTAGTAAACGTTTGTTTATTTATCAGAGTATAAATATGGAAGAAAAGGAGCGCTACAGACAGCTGTTACAACAGTTCACCACTACCCCCATCCTCCCAGGAACCTTCTCTGTGACGGCACGGCAAAGACCTTTGCCATTGGCCATGATGGCGAGCAATAGGTTAGTTTGGTGTATGTGTGCATATGCTTGCCTGTGTGCGTGTTTTGACCAGGGCCCTGTATCTCGAAAGGTTCGCTATGTTGCGCACGTGCGCAAGCGTCTCGATTCCACATATCGCCCGTACTCGTCCCATTGTAGCCTCTATTTGAAATAGCGATTCGCAATATGCGATGCTTTCATATACGGGGCCCAGGTGCACATGTATATTTGGTTTGCATGTTTGGTGTGATAACCAGTGTGTATATGTATATCAGGGCCTCTAAATTTACCTCCTTAATTTCCTACAAAATTTCAGTGAGTCCAAGTATGCCTAAAGCCATCAACTTTACAAAAAATTCATAAGCTGTCCAGCCGTCTTTGAAAATATAGACACTCTGGTGATGCTGGCAGCCATCCAAACGATGGCTGGACGGTTCACTGGGAAAACTCTTACATGCATGGTTTTGTTTGACAGAGAGATTGTAAAGAAAGACGTCAAACTGTGATAGCTTTTCACTTTCAGCACATTAACCAACACCACCCTCCTTGGAAGCGACATCCCAAAAGCTCCAAAAGCATTCCAGCAAGATGTATTGGTTCCCACCACGAGGCAGCGTATCTCTCCCTCTGACATGACTTTGTCGCAGAAAAGACCAGAACCCAAAGAGAGCACAGAGAAGGTCCCCAACGATCTAGATGCCAGTATTATAACCCACCTGCCTCCAAAAACCAAAAGTAGTGACACAGGGGTGTCTTTTGTGAATACCAGTACAGAGTCGCCACCTATTGGACACAGGAAGAAGCTTGGTCGGCATCAGCCTGTCATTGTAGATTTAGGTAAGACCCCATTCCCATATCTAGATGGATCTAGCAGGATCGACCCATCTTCAAGGAGATTCTCACTAAATTGCATTCAGATTAAGCGGCTTGAATGTCTGGCACGCCTGTTGAAGCTGCTAACACTAGTGGGCTGGATTTGGTCTTAAAGTGCAATTTAAGATAACAAGTTATCTTACATTATCTTAATCATTACAGCAGTAATCTTGAAATGGAATGAATCTGCTTTTAAGTTCAAAATGATCTAACATCTACTTAAGTGGTACCTCCCCTCAGAGGACACCTCTGCTCACAATGGGAGAATGTGTAAGGGGAGACAACTTAATCGGCTGTTAGACCAGAAATGGTCTTACTCATGGTTTAAGATCATGTAAGACAATCTGTGATCTTAAATTGCACTTTAAGACCAAATCAAGCCCACCAGTGTAAACAATAGTTATTTACCCCCTAATCTTGTTTTTAAAAAACATTGTCACTAAGATAGCCCCATCTCTTTAAACAGTGCTACTTGTATAAAGATACTTCGCTTAAATGTTTGAAATTTGATCTGTTTGGATTACAAGTAAAAAATAGAACAGAATCTTGATGTATTTTAGAATTTTTCAGATGCAGAACCAGATGTTGTGGAGATTCTAGATGAAAAGCCTCCTTCCAAGTAAGGGATGCTTAGTTCAAATAAGATTTTCATTTGAAGAAATATTTCATAAGTTTTGTATTTATTAGTCCATATATATTAGCTCAGTGAATTGTCATTTGAAAAGAACTGGTTGAAACGTACAGTGTTTTTTATGAAAGTCAGTAATGTCTTTGATGGTAAAAGCTTTTTTGAATAGGTTGTTTTTTGGTCATTCTCCTTAGATGATAACAAAAAAAAAAATGAATTTCTCACCCACAGGTCCCCTCCAGCTTTCCAAGATGTACTACAAAATTCCCCTTACTGGACTGACGAGTGGATAAATAGCTTGTAAGATTATTTCTCCTTCCACATGGTGATTTGACTCTAGATCCAATCAATTATTTACACACTTTTTACCTAATACAGTAGTTGATATTCTGTGAGTGGCAGAATTTTGCTTTTTGAATTTTCATTATTGCAAGAATGCTGCAAGAATATATATGAAGAGGATGAATTAATTTTACTCAGGTATATCATTTTGGAAATATTTTTTTAAAAGATGACTTTTCAAAGCGTGAAGTATTTGTTAAATTTGAATATTTTTTTTTGTAGAAAAGAGAGATTTGAAAGTGAAACATTAGCAAGAAAGAGGCAGATAGAGGAAGAGAAAATCAAGTCTAGTTACTTTGAGGAAAAGGTATAATCTACATATTTCTGAGATTTTTATAATTATGAAAACAAAGTTGACATGCAGTTTTTGTTTAGGTAAGTTACCACACAAGAAATACCACTGTTGTGAAATCATAAAAAAAAAAAAAAACAATTAAGGATAACAGAGGAAAATAGTATCAAAATCTGCATGGAAATTATGCACATAATAAGATTAACAACTGTCATCTTTGCTATGCAATTCCAGTTAAAAGCATATGGCTACCTGAGAAGAAAAAGTGTGGCAGAGAATCACTAGTCTCAATAAAAAATAAATCTAGAATAAAGAGATTAATGACGCAAAATCCTGTGGATAACTTTCCATTGGTTACATTGGTTTATCAGATGCACAGTTTTTGAGGGAAAGTATTATGATTTCAGCGTAAAGAACAAGAGGCAGCTCTAGAAGAACAGATCAGGCAGCGTATGGTGCTCACAGAAACCATCCCACCAGTTGTAGAGGAGGCTTACATAGAGGAAGAGGAGGAGGAGGAAGAAGAGGAGGAGGAAGAGGAAGAATTCCCAGGTAATGATGGAAGTATTTTTACAATTTTTTAATTATGTAACACTCTGGCCTTTTTGTTTTGTACTAAGACATAATAAAGCAAAAAATAAAATGAGATAAAAAATAATAATAATACTTTATTGTGTCTTTAAAAGTTTACTTAAAATGTATAGCCTTTTACATTTGGAGTTTGAACATATAACCAGTTTGATTAATTGTCCATGTGTCTTTGGTATTTTTTCAATTTGTTTGAAGAATGCAAAACTTTAATTTTTTTTGGCAGTTTATAAAAAGCTTATTAATATTATTATCGTTATTATCCATGGTTTAGCAGTTATCCCACTTACCTTACATGCAGCAGTTCCCCTGGTTCAAACCCAGGCTGAACCATGATTATGATTATTATTATTATTATTATTCTTATTCTTAGAGTTGACAGCCGAGCAGGAGGACATGGTGGACAATGCTCTGGTCCCTTACCCGGAGGGACAGATTCTTGTGGAGGCATTTGGGTTGCGAATAGCAAGACGCGATATGAGCACCTTGTTAGGGCTGAACTGGCTGAATGACGAGGTACTTGTAGTCGTATGAAGTTTGTGAATTAGCTGTAGATGGTTTTAAAACATTAAAGACGAGATATGAGCACCTTGATAGGGCTGAACTGGCTGAATGACGAGGTGTTTGTAGTCATATTTTTATGCTAATTAATGCATCGATAGAGATTGTCTGTGTGGATAAAAATTTTCTTTTGGCCCAAGGAACATTCTTGCGAGGTCAGACATTCTTACAAAATGCAACGTTTGCCCAGTTTTTGGTCCCTAACAAGCCCAATGATTAAGTGTGTGAATTAACTAAAGATGGTATTAGAACCTTAGAGAGGAGATCTGAGCACCTTGATTGTTTTGAGGTGGTTGAATGATTTGGAATTTTTGTCAGATTAAATGTATAGATAATGACGGAATTAGAACTTGAGATGAACGTAGAATGATAGCTTTATCAGAAATGTGCTCTTTGATATAGGAATAAGGGAGGCCAGTTTGAGTAAATATTTTCATGATTTTGCTCAAATTTAAATTTAAATTTATGAAAACAAAATGATGAAAAATTTAATGAAACAAAATTTCCAGGTGATCAACTTCTACATGAATCTTCTCATTGAACGTGGCAAGCAGAAAGACTGCAGTAAAGTACATGCTTTCAACACCTTCTTCTACCCCAAGTTGATGAGTGGAGGGCACGCTGCGTTAAAACGGTGGACGAGGAAAGTGGACGTGTTTGCAGTTGATTACATAGTGGTTCCTGTTCATCTAGGGATGCACTGGTGCTTAGCGGTGAGTAAAAGTCGATTCAAGTCTAACATTTTGAGGAAATTTGGAATTTTTCATGACATTTTAATTGTTGTTACTTTTCTTAGGTCTAAACAACACTTTGACCAAAAAGAAAAAAACCTTTGTGTTATTACATAATTTAATACCTATGTGTCAGTGTCCTCCATGATAACATGAAAGTTTCAAAATTGCTGTCATCCAACAATGTTTCCTGATTAACATTGATTCTCTTATTGGTCAAAAAATTGTCAATAACACTATTGATCAATGTAATTTTTTGTGATGATGTCATCCATCAGTACTGTATTTTATCTGACCTTGGATACATGGATATTATATATCAAAATCTATGCTAACTAAATAGCCATCATTTTTATTTATCAAAATTTAACTTTTTTTCAGCTTGTTGACTTCAAAGAAAAAGCAATCAAGTATTTTGACTCCATGGGAGGCAAGAACACCGGGTGTCTGAAAGCATTAAGGTGAGAGGGTTGACCTGTTTTAGTATGGGAGTTCCCGGATGAAAGTCTAACCCTCCCCCCTCCCCTATACCAGTGTGAAGAAAGAAGATAAAACAATACTGTGGCTTCATGAAATCAAGCTGGAGCACTTTTTCAGCTTTTTTTTCTTTTTTTGTTTGTTTGTTTCTTTGTAAAATATATTGAAATTATGTCCCCTAAATTATGTCTGTGTCTCTTATTTTTCATAAAGTTACCTATTTGGATAAAAGATAGTAAGCAGGCTAATACTCTTGTCTAGACCCATCAAATTTGGTCTGTTGTCTAATTCTTCAAAGTTAACAACTCTCGGATGTGTACTTGTACAGTTTTGATCTTATATTCATATTGTTCCTCATAAGTTTTGACTTTTTGCAATCTGTGTTTTTACAGGCAGTATTTATTGGACGAGAGTTTGGACAAGAAGAAACGACCCTTTGACATGACAGGCTGGAGGGATGAGATTGTAAAGGTGGGTGTACTTTGACATGACAGATTGGAGGGATGAGATTGTAAAGGTGGGTGAACTTTGACATGACAGGCTGGAGGGATGAGATTGTAAAGGTGGGTGTACTTTGACATGACAGGCTGGAGGGATGAGATTGTAAAGGTGGGTTTACTTTGACATGACAAGCTGGAGGGATGAGATGCTAAAGACGGATGCATTTTGTAGTTGTCAAAATTACTTAACTTCTTTATTTATACCTTTACTTTACTTTAGGATATACCTCAGCAGATGAATGGCAGCGACTGTGGTGTGTTTGCATGTAAATATGCAGAGTATGCCACCAGGGGAGCCAAGATCACTTTTACTCAGGTATGAACTAAATATATACCCAGTATTTTAAGAGATGAGGTGGTGGTATTGGTTGTGGTGGGTAAGGGTGAGTGATATGGGGGGGGGGGGGGGGGGGCTTGTATAGAGCTATAGCAATAAAACATCAGTAATAAAAGAAGACAGCATTGCCAGGGCTGATGTTTGTTAGCAGAAATATATGATGTCCTTTCTAAAACTTTGGTGGCAGAAAGATGTGCATCTGTAAAATACGTTGTTAGCAAAAACTGTCATGTCTCATCTTAAGCTTTGTTTGCAGAAATATATGATGTCCTTTCTAAAACTTTTATGACCACCTTTCCAGGAACACATGCCGTACTTCAGAAGAGCCATGACGTACGAGATATTAACCAAGCAGTTGTTGTGCCAGTGAGGGAGAAGAGGCAATACCTTTCCATAGTATGACAGTGAAGAGCACCTCTGTGCTGTAGCTGACATCACCGCACAAACCATCCGTCTGTTGATGAAGCTCTGCCTGTGCTCTTTGGCTGAAATGCTGTCATTGACCTATTTTCTTGAACAGCCACTTGGGAAGTGTTGTTACTTGGCCAAAGATGCCTTCAAATTATATTGACCACATTGGCATAATTTGCCTCATAGCAGCAAGGGAATCTTAAGGTGTGTTCACAGTTTGCTTGAGCAGTCTTGACTAGTGGCAGCAAAAGAACAAACGGCTCACCTAATGCAATGCTGGTTTATAGGAAGTGAAGGACACACCTAACACAATATTGAACTGGAAGAGAAAGTAAGGCTTATCTAACGCAATGCTGGTTCATAGGAAATGAATGGCACACCTAACACAATATTGAATTGGAAGAAAAAAGTACATCTCATCTAACGCAATGCCAGCTCCAGGAGAGCAAAGTCATCCCCAACTGGGCTTTTGTATCCCAGTTGATTTTGTATACTGTACATTTCATGTCACATGTGAAGATCTTGTAAACTTTGTAAATATATAAATAATTTATTTATGGAGCCAATAGTAAGATGTATCAATATAAGTATTTTTTGTGTCACTAAAAGGTTAGCAAGATGTCAATTTCAATTGTGAATGTTTTTTTTTTTTTTTTTTTTTTTTTTAATTCATCGCTTAGGATGGACTATTGAACTTTGTGTAGACTGATAAACAGTACCTTTAAAGAGAGAAACTCTTGATAAAATACTTGTGTTTTTCAGAAGTGTTTACTGGTAATAATAGCCATGGTTAATATAAGAAAAAACAGATTTCCTTAATTTTATGAATATTGACACTGTGGTTTTCCTAAATCCCTAGTGTTTCATGCACTTGGGGAAATTTGTTTTGGATAAGCCAATTTACAATTTTTTCTTTATAATTCAGTTTAAATGTAAGTGTAAAAGGTTTGTTTGACTGATTGGAAATGATGCACTGATGTTAAAAACAACAAGGGATGCTTTCATATCATGGTTTTAATATTTTGTTTATTAGTTATATGAATTGGAAAACGTGCTACTGCTACAAAATGAACATGATGTGAATAGCAATAGAGAATTCTATAAAATATCTTTATTAAATTTATATACATTTTAAACCAGAATCTTGTGTTCTTCATTTAAGACCTTTGTTGTGAAGTTCCTTATGAGAACCGTCTAGGTATAATGCCCCTACAACTTGTAACAATTGCAGTCTTGGAAAATTTGTCATCTCGTGCATTTTCAGAGTTTTGGTAGAGTACTGGCACACTGCACTAAATTCCTGGCTCAGAAACAAGCTCCATTCATTACCGTACCCTTGGCACATTCTTACTTGAATAAAGGGGTATTCGGAACAAGGCGATCTCCGGCCTAACAGACTCGCAGATCAAATATGGCCTATCCACTTGAAAGATTGTCACCTAAATCCCCAACAAACACTGTATAGATTCCTCTCGGGGATTACGCGGTTAACTTTCAAGTCTGTCGGCCATATTTGATCCGCGGATCTGTTAGTATGAGGATCAGGTTTGGTAGTGAATGCAGCCTTAGGCTTCATTCACATGCAATGTCTATTTTCTAAATTCTATTTTCTATTCGCGGTATGTCTTATGATCACAGTCTGTGCCCTGAATATCCCGCGGCGTAATTACTGGCAGCGCGAGCCAGTTACTATAAGTTACTATTAGCCTTTTTCATCTTTTCCGGAAATTGTTAAGTAACTGGCTCGCGCTGCCAGTAATTACGCCGCGGGATATTCAGGGCGGAGACCATGATCATAAGATAGCGCGAATAGAAAATAGAATTTAGAAAATAGACATTGCATGTGAACGAAGCCTTAACCTGCGACTAACGTATTTTTAAAAGTTTGGTAGCGACCGACACGATGGCCATGCAGCTTTTTGTCGCTTCACTCCATCTTGGTCTTATTCTCGGACCATCATAAGCTGCCCCCAGCCTTGCACCTCCTAGTTTGAAGAAAAGAAAAAGAGGTTTTGTAAGGAACAGAAAAGGGAAATAATCGATAGTCACTTGATTATCCCGCCACCATTTCGTGGGAGCTAAATGCAAATCCTGATCTATGCAAACTGCCGAAGATAAGAGAAAACGTGATCGAAATTTGATTTCGTAGACAAATCGGTTATATTCTTATATCCATTCTAATTGCATTTTTCAAAAGCAAATTTTAAAGCAGACAAACTTAATCTAAAAAATAACATTGTTTCCACCGTTAATTCATCTTTAAATCGCCTCATAGTGGCCGCAAAAACAGTCGCTGTAAATAGCACCGAGAAAGAGGTTATTTAGCGGAATTCATTTACCTGAGCCTCCTGTACAAGAGAACAAAATGGACAGAACAGATGCATAAGGCAGTCGCCAAGATACGAACCCTGGAAGATAAAAAAATAAAGATATGTTCTGCTGCAAAATAATTTTGTTCTAAAATGGTGTACAGTTTAAATAATTTCTCGTGTTATTCGGCTTTTGGTGTTCGAATTCCGACATTGGCATTCATATACGAGTTAAAATTTATTCACCTCTACAGTACTATGCCTCTGCCGTTGTCAGATTATCGTAAAGGTAGGTACACATGTAATTGCTGACATGAAAGTCCATGAGCGTAATTAGAACAGCGGACTACAAATTCGCGGATCAAATATGTCGACCCACTGGGAAGCTTGCCACCTAATTCCCCATTAGACACTAAACAGATTCCCCGCAGGGATAACGCAACAAGCATTCAAGTGGGCCTGCTATATTTGACCCGCAGATCTGTTATTCTGCAGTTTCGAATGCGCTCTATTATACTAGAAATGACAGAGCATGATGATAGGAGAGAGGTAAATTCCCAGTGCCTTCTGAACCTCAGGGTGATGAGCAGGTACACGCGCCTTCATTCCATGTAACCACTCCCGATTCAACAATTAACACGAGATAACACGAGAATCTAAACACACGAGTGCTATTCAAAAAGCCGATAAACTCTCATAGAAAACCATTGGGGTTATCGAATGATCGTATCATGGTTGTGATAGATTAGTGTGATATAAATTTGATTCGTTAACTAGCATTTGTGTCATGCAACGGAAATTGGACGCAACGAAAAACAGGCAGACCAGTGTGCATTTTTTTTTTTGGGGGGGGGGGAGGGGGGAGATGGATAGACTTTCATGTATATCACAGCACTGTAAATTGTTTCTAGTATGTGTTTCTAAAATGTTTCAGTACATTTTACAGGCCCTCTAAACTTCTTGTGTTATACATACATGTAATATAGGCCTATATCTAGATCTATTATCACACTTATGTGATATCAGGCTTACAAGCGTAAATTAGAGGTAACATTGCATTTATTACTTTATTTTTAACTTTGGCAACTTTGCTTGATCTGCTTAGGTCGGTTTCTCCTTCATTCTTTTTTAAAATTTAACAAACTGGTCAGACTGCTCAGCGTATGTTGTTTACCCTAACATCACTATACTCCTTTTGTTCTGATTAAAAGAAGAACACTTCCCAACTTAATGGTTAACCAGAGATGAAAAAAATGCTGTCTTTTCAAACATTTTAGAAAACGTTCCGGCTTATTATTATTTAATATCACAGATAGCAAATTCTGCGGTCGTACAGGTGTATTTGCTATAGTAGGTGCTCTTGTTACATTTTAGCAAGGAAGTTGATATTTAAATTCCTTGATTTATGGAACGCCGCAAAATGAAACCTCGTGATCTCGAGAAACAAACACGAAACTCGTGATACAGGAGATAAAATAAGCTTTTTTCACAAACACAAAGCTACGTTTTATACAAACAGTCACATGTGCCTGGGTCAACTCTATATATATGATGTTGTATACAAAACGTCACAGGCGGCTGGTTTATCTCAATGGGGTGGCTCCCTAGATAAAGAAATACTATCAACGATCGTGTAATGTTACAGCTTAACATTTAAGCACCTTTAACAACTCTAAGGCTTGGGACAAAATTTGCCAGTTTTTAGCAAAAATTGTAAAACAATGAGCACTAAGCTTAAGCTGGCTTCAATTCTGACGATAAGTAGCCTACCACGGAATTTTGATGAGCAATTAAGGTTAATATTGATGTCGGCTGCAAGGAAAGCCAGGCATGATAAATAATAAATACTTGTATATATTAAACACTTTCGCAAGCAGATGTTTCACGATAATTTTCCGTACAGCTTATCAAAATTTAATTTCAACATTACGAAAGCAAGGTCATCATCAAACAGGTAGAACACCTGTTTATATGTATATATAAAATAAAAATGACTGTAGAGAATCGTGAAAATTTATAAAGTTGTTGCTATAGCACACAAGATGAGAATCGATAAAATCTTACACAAATATTTTACCTCGATAAAGAGCTAATAAGACAAAAGGACACACAGCACAAGATATGTTTTGTAGAAATGTCAACAAAGGATTGAACTTCCAAGGCAAAAAATACGTCAACTGAGTAGACAGACTTAATTTTGACATCGTACAGCTCACCAAATCAGGACATAAGTAAGCTCAGCACTTGTGCTATATTTCACATCTTGGGCGACGAAAGGCAGTATGTGTAAAACTGTAATGTTATTCCATGCACATCAATTTGAGTGCACTAGCTGTATGTAAAAGATAGGGTCTACAAAACGCCAGAATTGTCTACCTACTCAACGTCATTTGGGTTTGGGGTTTCACCCTCCCCCCTCCCACACACACACACACATGCACACAAACACACACACACACACACTCTTTGGTCAAGGTTATTTGGTAGACGTTTTATCAATGCAGTCCACTCCCCTTTAAGTTCAGTCTTGACTCAGGGTGCATTCGGAATCAGTTGATCCGCGGACTAACTATGTATATATTGATCCGCAGATCAAATATGTCTCGATCCACTTCAAAATGTGCCGAGATTTAATTGCTCTGCCCCCGCTGGGACGGCTCGCATGAGAGGCAGGAATCCATGTCGATTGCACGCCATATTTGATTAGCAGATTAGTTAGTCCGCGGATCAACTTGGTTTTGAATGCGGCCTAAGTCTACGCCCCCGAGTCACACTTGTCCTCATCTTTAGTATGGGTCACGCTATCAGGTAAACCTATTTCAGTATGTGTCTGTGACAGGCCAGGTCGCAGAAATAATTTTCCACTAGATTGGCAAAGAAATTTCTCAGGCTATTCACTAGTTGAGCTAATTGCTGTAGTGAGAATATTGCATCCATATTATGGTATCACTCAACTGGCCTCTGGTTTGAGACTGATTTCCGTAAATTTTAAAGATTACGCGAGAAATTCAAAATGGACCCGAATATAAAGTTCTATGTAATTTAATTATAAGTCTTTTATGGTCCACTAAATGTCTTTACAAAATATTTTTTAAAGAATTGCACAAAGCCGCGAATGTAGAATCTGGAGAGGGTGGTTGTACATGTAAGTACACGTAGCTATAGTCTAGTTCAAAAGTCAGTTACAGACATGGACAAATTTAATTGCTGGTGCCATACGTCTATCTCTCTACCATCAAATCCGCCGTGTCCGTCCTATAAACACCTATCTAAAATAACATTACTTACTGGTATACCCTGCCTCTCCCTGATCTTACTTCTGGTGTTCGCTCGGAAGAAAGTTCCAAAAGGCTCAATCACACCTATACAACAGTAGAGACAGCAACTCTCGTCGACTGCCTCCGCGTTCTTGCCTATCGTGTAGCAAGGGACGAAATAGGTTATAATACAAATCCCCAGGTTGTTAAAGCATCCACAAAGGCCATGTCTCCAGTAGCCGGACATATTTCAGTATATTGTGTCTACAACCTGAACAGCCTTTTAACTCTGGGGATAATCTGGAAATAATTAAAAGATGGATGCATGAATTAGTATCAGTTAGTGTGAATGGATCAAATTGAGCGCGATCAAAATTTCGATTAATGAACAAAAATCCGAAAATAATTGAGCTGGGTTTTATTTTTCGCCCCATTTGGCAAGGCAAAGTGGTTGTTGCTTGGTCCATGATCAGAAATTATTTCAAAATATGAGAGAGAGAGAGAGGCGGTAAAGCTAGCAAATCTGGTCTAAAAACACTGAAATGGAAAATTTCTGGCCTTGACAACGTTTTGACATTTATTATACTCCCAGCACCACGGCCAGCGTGTCAAAGTTGTACAAATTCCAGCAAAGGAGGTGTGACCAATCAACACAGTAAATATCCAACTAGTGGCAGTTTGCAAAGCTCAACGTGCGGAGAACGCTTACCTTAATGTCCCAAAGACTGACTAGTCCACCGCAGATCCTGTATCTATGTCCGTCAACGCAGCCTACGTGATGTTGCCACTTTCTTCTCAGTAACAAACGACCTCACACACTCAACAGAACGTCACCGACCACGCACTTGTAAATGCCCGTTGTTTTCCAGCGCAGTGTTATGTCTATATTTATACTGCCGCGTGTTTGATAGGGGAGTGACCTTAAAAAGGCACGTGGCTTTGAATCACATATCAACCGGTGCTTTTAAACAAGTACAGAGCGTGCACCCTGAGTGTAGAGCCAAAATTGTTTAAAATGTGTTTCTTCGTTACATGATTATACCTCTTATCATTATATTACTGTTGGAGCATATTACCTTGTCATTGTTTTATTTATTTACAGATGTTGCCATGCCCACTGCCTTTAGTTCTTTTCATAAACTTTACAAGCCCAAAAGTGTTTGGGATATAAGTACCCTTATATCTGTTTCTCACTGACCTACCCGAAGGGGGCGTGTGCGATATTTACTGTAGTGTTTCCCAATCAGCATTTATTTTTAGTTATCTCTTGTGCAATTTTATCAATGGTGAATTAATCAGATGAAGCACAGAACATTACTTCCTCTTTTCTTTAGATAAGTTCACGCACTTTCCTTGTTCCTTGATGAGAGTTAATTCAGCAGGGGATATTACCTCGTCGTACAGTAGGTATCTTATTTAAACATAAAAATCCAATTTTCGTCACGCCAAGTGAGTTTCTTTTTTATGGACAAAAAGTCATAAGAATCTCGACTTAAGAGTCGTCTGCTTAAATCGTATAGCCATCAACGCAGTCGACTTAACAATTATTATTGATTAATTATTAGTCTAAGCGCGTTTAATGGATTTTTGAATGGTGATGTATGCAGTTGAAGTGCATAAATGAACTATGTAGTAACCACAAGTAGTAAATTGTGTTGTTGAGATAAGCACATTTTGCTTTAAGGGTTAAATAAAAAAGCAGAAATAAACGAAGCAATCGGCAATCAAACTGCTTTATGAAACGCAATACCTAGACCGTTTTTTTTTTACTTAAGACATTTTGTGAAACAGTCCCTTGAGCTACATCAATTGTTTATTCATTTTTTTAAATACAATGCTACGCATTGTTCAAATTATGAAGTTAATCAGATAAAGCAAAATATTATATCAACTTATTTTCCAAAAACTTGGACCCATCTGTAAACGCTTTACACAACCGGTTCCTTAAGACTTCAGTGGCTCAAAAACTGGGTTATTCTGCAGGACTGTCTTGGCGCTGGAGGAGTACCGACTGGCAGGGGGCCGCCTTCCGTACGTTTCCGCCACTATTCGGAAATAGTGGGGGGCGTTACCACAGCATAGGCCTATGTACTGTATACCGATCTCCCTGGCCTGGGCGGCGTATTCCCCTATTTGAGAACGGCTACACAGCCAGGCCGGCAAGTCGTAGTAAGGATTGCTGTCGTTATCTGAAAAAAAAAATGTACCGTCACAAAATGACAGAATTTTCGAGTTTTAGACGTGACAGGGTTAAAAAGTAGACCTACATGCATAGATTAAATACACAATGCCTGTTCTCCCTAAATTGGTATCGACAGCTGCATCCCAGTTAATTTTATTTTACTGTATCTGAGGACCCTTTAAAATTCGTTTCATAAGAATTAATTGGTATAGTACCCAATACAACCCACCAGAACAATAATTAAATAATATAAATAAATATAAATAGAATAAAATAAAATAAATAATTATATTAAATAAAATTAAATAAAATTAACAGGCCCATAAAACAATCTTTTATCATGGCGCTCAGTATAACTGATGCCAAAGATACTGATAATTTCGCTTATTCGGAAGTGCATTTAAGACGTAAAAAGCGAAAGGAGCGAAAAGCTCGTCACATTAAAATTTTTATTGATCTAAAAACGATTGCCAAAAGTCTTACGCAATGTGGTCGTATGGCTTATGTACTAAGATGAAACAGTCACATGCAATATACAGTATACGTCGTTACGAGTAGTTAAACAGGGCTAAAGATTATCTTCTACCAGGGCCACAGCTTGATTTTTCAGTAGATATTCACAGATAATGTCTCTGGCTTAATATCGTCAATCTCCTACAGTGTATAAGCTAAATGTGATGGAAAACGTGCCTAAATAATATCTGCCACCCTGGTAGAGGGTACCTACAGATAGGCCTATAGAGAGGTTCCTGCCAGTCATTTGATTTAGATCACCTGTATGTATATTCCACATGTCTCACCTGGGTTATAGAACGCCTGCATCACCGGTTTATCTGGAGTGGTTCTGTAGCAAACAGGCAAACAGCCAACTGCGCCCTGAAATTTTAATTTTCATAAAGGAAATACACAAATGTACGAATGTATGCGTTAAACATGATCTGAGATCTCTGAAATACTGCAGTTAGGGAAGAAGAGATGCATTGTATCTATATGATTAAACTAACTCTTGACCATAACTTCATAACATCGTTAACGTCAGGAAATTAGGCAACGAACCAACAGGAGATGTTCTAATTCTGGACCCTAATATTTAAAGGAGAGAAGAGCATATAAACATTAAGAAGTTTTTGAGATGATGGAATATAAAAAACACCTACTTTACAAGCCTTTTTAATTTCTCTCATCATAGGAATGGTGGTGGCGGGCCCCCGGCCACAGTTTAACCCCACTACGGCTGCTCCAGCGTCCTGCAGTCTCCTCATGGCCTCCGGGATTGGCACGCCCTCTACACTTTTGTCTTTGTAGGCTACCATGGTTATAACAGCTGGAACTCCTGAAAGTATAAAATTGAAAGTGGTAAATTTGTGGGCATTGAATGTTCCTTTTTTATGTAAAAATAGGGACACTTATTTGAATGGCCAAACCCGCCGATGCTACAAGTTTTTTTTTTTTTTTTTTTTTTTTACAAACAGGCTCCAAGAGGTTTTCTTTTTATGAGCTTGAGTTGATAAAGTATATACGGTACATTGTAGGCTACTTAAATGTACTTTCTTAAAATTTGCGGCCAATCAAATATTACACGAACGTGTAAGTAGATAAACACCCTATTCGTCGTTTTAGAGGTGTAAAAATTAAATTGTAAATTTTGTTAGAATTTTCCAAAGGTTCCTCAGTCCCCAGAGTTTTGTTTCCTTTGCCTTTATTGTTCAGAGTAATTAGGCTTACCCGCTGGAAAAATCGACTATACCTTGGCCAAACTCTTTAATTGCCTCCAGTGCCAACATGGCTTCTCCAAAATGGCGGTATGTTTCCCCCACAATATAATCGGCTCCCTCTTCCACGGCCCATACCACTTGTTCCTAAAAAGATACAAAAATGTTTTGTTTCCACTTCAATAACATGTACTAGAGCAATTTTTGAAGGCGAGTCGACTTGAAATGGATATCACAGACTACTTCGAGTTTGGATGGTACTTTCACTGTACGCGTGTTTCAGTGTACGCATCACATTTGATCTTCTTGGTCTTCAAAAGATACATGAACTTCGTTTAGCATGACAAATTGAATACAAATAATTTTTTGTTTTCAGTAAAAGTAATGAGTGTGATTCGCGTGTCTTCATTATAAACATTGGGTTTCTACCGTTTTTATTGTACGCTTTTTCACAAGCATGCACTAGTATAGTATAATTGTTGGTATCTTACCTTAAACATTTCTTTCACGTATGCATTCACTTCTGGATTATCTGGATCATAGATGGTGGAATTGGAAATGTTTCCCGCCATTAAGGTTCCCGACTCGTCTGCTACCTCTCTTGCCATTTTAAGCGCAGTACGGTTGAGTTTCTCCAAGTCTTCCTCTCTACCGATTCTTTTCAGTTTTTCTCGATAACCAAAGTACTGTTCAATAAAAAGAGGTTTAAGCCACATTTGTAAAACAAAACTGTTGGCAGATAGGCCTAAACAAAATATAATATCATACCAAACAATTTTTTAAATAAAGAATTTTGTTAGACTGCAACACTGAGATGGAAGTGACATTTACCGGCAATAGCCAATCATTATATCTATTTGTAACCATACTAAGCGTGTCTGCATTCGTTCGCGCGTGTGATCTTGTATAACACGAGATGTCTAGTAAATTCCCATTCAGTTTTTTTAAATGTTTAATCATTTTTATCTTTAGTATCTAGAAAATTAGGTTGACCTTTCATATTGTTTCGTAGTTATTTACATTAAAATGTTGGAGCTAAAAAATACTTTAACAAAATAACGTACCGTGAAGGCCAGAACAACGTCACTTCCGGCATGTACAAACTCTTTCTGAATTTGGCGAACAACATCTGGGTTTTCCAGAACCACTTCCGGTACGAATTCCCCGGCCTCCAAATAGCCGCGCCTCTCTAGTTCAAACAAATATCCCTCAGCGACCAAGATATTTTCCCCAGCTTGAAGGCGTTCAACAAGACCTGCACGCGCAGAAAAAAAGAACATTTTATTCTCTCTCTCTCTCTCTCTCTCTCTCTCTCTCTCTCTCTCTCTCTCTCTCTCTCTCACACACACACACACACACGAAAACATATATAAATCAAGTAAAGTAAAAATGAACTACGAAGAGATTAATTAAGATATAGTAAAGGACAACTCCACTGTATTTCCCCCCTTTAAAACAGTTTTTGCCACTACTATTATCATATTAGGATAAGCGTTAGAATTTTATTAATAAAATTAAATGCATGTGTGGAGAGATAGGTAATACGGGGAATGAGCAATGTGGAATTATACCTAATACGCCAATCTTTGTTTTAAAAAAATCTGGAGATGTTTCCGATTGGTACGAAATATATGGATGTCGGAAGCAATCGGCTGAGATTAAAGGGGGCTGGCTGAGTGCACTGTGTGGGCTGCTTCTTCTGTTCAAAATTATCAAAAATGAGACGCGGTGCTTGTATATTCATGTCAACTCTTATCCCAAAATATGGGGCAAGTGACACGGCAGTGATCTTAGCAAGACAAAGTAAACAGTTTGGTTTCTTTGTAGCTCTCCCGTAACTGGGATATGAGCCCTGATTAAAAACCTCAAGCGCGGAATTTCATTTCTTTACAATGTAGGCTGGATAGTATTAACGTGCTCCTTTATAGCGTGAGAGCATGAACGCGTTTCCTTGGTCTTCATCATCGAACAGTTTAGATGTGGGGAAGCAATCGGCTGAGATTAAGGGGGGCTGGCTGAGTGCACTGTGTAGCTGGGCTGCTTCTTCTGTTCAAAATTATCAAAAATGAGACGCGGTGCTTGTATATTCTTGTCAACTCTTATCCCAAAATATGGGGCAAGTGACACGGCAGTGATCTTAGCAAGACAAAGTAAACAGTTTGGTTTCTTTGTAGCTCTCCCGTAACTGGGATATGAGCCCTGATTAAAAACCTCAAGCGTGGAGCTGCATTTCTTTACAATGTAGGCTGGATAGTATAAACGTGCTCCTTTATAGCGTGAGAGTATGAACGCGTTTCCTTGGTCTTCATCATCGAACAGTTTAGATGTGGGGAAGCGCTGTAGGAATTAGAATTCCCTGTGTGTGTGTGTGTGTGTGTGTGTGTGTGTGTGTGTGTGTGTGTGTGTGTGCGGGGGGGGGGGAAGATGTTATGTCGTATATAAGTTACGCATAGTTGATCGGGATCCGCTACGAGTCTTCCATTTCGTTGGCAGATGCCTTTTTTTAAGGGGGTAGCGTGGGGGGGGGGGTGATTCGGAGCTTAGGAAAGTGGGGGTTGGGGGCACGCACCAGTGTCCCCACGGGACATTTGTTTGGTTTTAAATTCCCTGGGAGGGTATTCTGGGTTAACGTTGTTGTGAGGCTTATAGTGAAGTTAAAGCACATGTCCCTGTGCCTATGCTATACCTTAGCTGTAAATGCAAGGACCTCCATTCTAATTACGCAAGGCTTGCCCACTGGATAGATCTCACATTCTTGAGCGATTTTTTAAAGATCTTCTACCATCAAACGTTTCATTTATGTAAATCATCGGGTGAATGTGCTCCATATGTTTGCTAAGCAAACAAAAGATACAACAAGGCCTATATTTTGCACTGATATATTTTTTTTATAGTGCTGCCCTTGTATTAGCGTGAATTATTAGAGCACGTTATGTATACTGCTATTGCAATATGTACGTAATTGTAGGTTTACCTGAGAACTTACCTGTGCTATAGACGATCCCCGCCTCATTAATTTTGTTGTCATTTGCCTTCCTTTAGTTTTCAAAGGATACGTTCTTTCCCGCATGTATTAGACTGCGATATGGAAGTACTGTAAAATATACCTAGTATTCCCCCCCCCCCTTCCCCCACACACACAGCCCGCCTTGTGCACGTTCCAGTTTGACCCAATCTTGCGCTCCACTTTTTAACCCTCTTCTGTTACTGCAGGTTGGCTTGCAGCTACGCTCTCTCTCTCTCTCTCTCTCTGTCTCTCTCGCTCTCTCTCGCACACACGCACACACAAACACACACACACACACACACAAACACAAGAGTTCCGCTGTTTAACTATGACTACCGTTACATCAAATAGTTCGGTCTGTATATAACTATATGATCAATTGCTCACCTCGTTTAGTCTTGCGCTCAGCCATTACGATGCGCGCACGATATAACACCGCGTCTGTTGCAAAGAAACCGTCTGGGGCAGAAGATTAGTGAACTGGAGGTGACATGCAGTCGTGACCCGAGATTAGACGGGGAGAGGACGGGCACCTGTGCGTTGCATTGACTAGGTTAATTTGTTAAAGACAGCCAGGGCAACTCCTACCGACAAGGGACATCTCCAAGAAAGCCCCGTTGCACTTGTACAGAGCATAAACCAAACGTTGGTCCTTGCTTTAAGAACGCATTCAGAACAGCGGACTGACAGATCCGCGGATCAAATATGGCGACCCACTAAAAAACTTGTGGCTTAATCCTCTATTAGACATTGAATAGATTCCCCGTGCGGAATTAGGCCAGGGATTACGCAACAAGCATTCAGATGGGTCGGCCATATTTGATCCGCGAATCTGTTAGTTCGCTGCTCCTTATGCGCTCTTTTTTTTAAAGATAAATTGGTTTTGATCTTCATGAATTAGGGCATTTATTGAGTTTAATTTACATAATGTATGGAATGTCTACTGTTTTCAGTTGATCCAGTTCCTTGGGTTACAACTGGAGAAAAGCAGCCCAAAGAGTACGTTTGTGAAGAAAGGACCGACATTTTAACATTTGACTTTTTATATTTATTCTGTAAATCCGGCCCTTGGAATTCAACCATGGCTGGGCTTTAATACAAGTGAAAAGTGTATGCAATTTACACCAGTAACCATAGTTGTAGTTTTTGAATTTGACACCTGCTCTACTATACGGATTACACTTAAAGCCTCTTATAATCTTGGGAAGTCGCTTCGTTGAATCTTACATTATGTTTATATTGAATCTAAGTCGGGTATTTTCGAACCAGCGTTTAGACCTTTTGTGAACCGAGTCCCCAAGGGAGTAAAAAGTGGCGAGGTTGGGATCGTCAGATCTTTATGAAATCTAAATACCAAAGGTAAAGGCTTTTTTGTTAGATATTAGGACACCAGCTACTGGTGTTGCGACCTCAGAACTTTAACAATAATTTTTCACAGAACAAGGGCGTTCAAGGAAGAGTCATCCATCGTTGTCAAAAGTGCTGTTCTCTATTAAAGAAAAAACTGAGGATCACATAAAATCTCGCGAGATCAAAGATTGAGATGTTTGTCACATGAGCTTCCTTCTTTCCCGCGGAGTTTAAATTTGATAGGCAACACGTGACGGAGTTATAGGGTGCTTTCCCAGAGATTTAGATCGATCTAAAGATTAAGATTTAGATCGACCTAACTCCCTGGGGGTTCACGCTAAATTGCAGTCAGCCGAGCGGGCACCATAGTTAATTACCCCCTTACAGCTTTTAGTAAGCTGACAGTAATCTAGTGAGACTCCCCACAGGGATAGATCGATCTTAAAATCTATGGAAATGGGGTGATAGACAATAATTATATGTCAATCAATATTAATATACATCAAGTTGTATGTGTATTTCCGGTTGTGTTGAATTTCGTAATACAATGGTATGTCAGGACGACATAAATTAAAACAGATGAATCAAGAAACAATTTCTCCTTGTCACTTTAAGGATGGATACGTGTAGTTTCAATCAACGTCAATGTCTTCTGGCCTTTAAGTTCATAATGATAACATAAGTAATCCAGAGGAAAATATCATACAGCTGCTTGCAATGAAGGTGATTTGGTGAGTATAGAAATGGTCCTTTAACCAACCTAGAAGTAAAATAATTCGATATACAATACATATAGGACAAGGAGATACATACCTTTATGCTAAGTTGATCATTTTCATCACTTTGAGATGTCTTAGGAATTAACAGCTATTAAATTATAGTTTTTTATCGCTGAAATGATAATCAATATCAGAATAAGAGGAACACAACGGGCACAACTCACAAATGCTCCCAGGCGCAACTTACACAATTTGAATATTGCTTTTTTACGCCACAAGAGGGATCGCCCCGCCCCCCTCCCCCTTCCTCCTAGCGTGTCTAATTTGCTAGGAGTATACTGCTCAATCATATCAGTGGCGGATTTAGGGGATGGCAGGGGGGTCCTGACCCCCCCCCCCCCTTCGTTCTCATAGAAGAATCACACCAATGGTCCCCTCTTGAATTTTGACTAGCTGAAACATAATCCTAAACCGTACCAAATGGCACCTTTAGCCCTATAAAATACCTAAAATTTTCGGGGCCCTTCACCGGGCACCGAACCCCACACCAAGGGGCAGGGGGGAGGGGGAGTATCGGCTTCGCATCTGCGGACCCCCCTTCAAATAATCCTGGATCCGCCCCTGCATTCTGTACCTTTAATATTTGATGCTTGTTGTTGTTGAGAAATGAGAAAAATGCCATTTATTTAATGCATTTGTGTACATCTTATTCTTATATCGAGTGTTTTTTTAAAATCCGCATGAATCCCCGTTCGGGTCAGTAGGCCTAGCGGTTTATTCTAACGCAGTCCTTAAATAATGCCACACCCTTATGTATGCCAACTTAAGAACTATAATATCTTAATACATACAAAGATGTTTTCGTCATGCTTTAAAAAGTTTACATCTCATCTTTCATCATTTTAAAGGTTTTACTCACTTACCACCCAGTGGTGTTGCTAATGCAATAAGTCCCTGAGCGAGTGACATTAAGCCAAATGCATGCGGTAGATGGTCGAAGCCCACTACATCACGCAACAGCAAGCAAGGAATGGTAAGCTTTGCCCCTAAAAATTAGGATTGTAGAAGATCTTCAACTCGTAGAAAAGCATATCTAGCTCTGAGAATTAAACTATCCCTTTTATCAATCCTACGGAAGGTTGGTCTCATGATGATATGGTCAATTTCAGTAGTTGATCAACTTGAGACTAAAAGGTATTAGACCGATCGCTGCCCTAAGATTTTTTTTGGATCAAATATAAGTAGCCTACAATGGTTGAACTTAAAAATAAACCTGCTACTGAATAAGTTATTTTGTGAAAGGGGACCAGTGTTCAAACTTACAATATGGTTGAATTGATTTTCAAACGCATATAACTGAATAAACAGGTTCTAAAATCAGCTTCCCTTTATAACATTGGGGTTCAGACATGACATTTTTGCTAAGGCGCCTACATCCCCCCCACCCAAAAAAAAAGTAAGAAAAAAGGCAAATGGAATAGTATTCAACGTACTAGTACACAATTTTAACATTACCTTGGCAAAACCCAAACACTGCAACGAGTATGAGCAGATGGACCAACTTAGAGCTCACCACAAGAAGAGCAACAGAACCGCCACCAAGAAGTCCATATATGACAAGCCATGTTGCTACCGAGAAAAACCTAACATCCGTAAGGCACGTTGCTCCTATGCGCCCTATGACGACGAATATGCCAATGACTACAAGCAAACAGGAGGCGTTGTCTGAACTCATCCCTTTTTCTTTGGCAAAAGATGGCAAGAACGCCAAGGTCATGTTTTTTCCCCATTGGAAAAATGTCACCGATAATATGACACGAAGATATCGTAAATTGCACACGATCGTCATCCATGAGGTGCTTGTTGAATTGCCCGCTTCTCCTGAATAGCCTTGCTGAGTTTTCGGTTGAAACAAGTCCGACAGAGATCCAAGACCCTGATTGCCATTTTCGCTTTCGTTCGATATAGCCTTGTCATTCTTGTACTCAAATCTTAAGAAAAGTCCAAGCAGTATTCCAATAGAAGAATACGCGGCCGTGGCAATCATTGCCACCCTCCAGTTAAACATGGACGCCATTGAATGTACCAACGGAGAAAGGACGAAAAGTCCAGCGCCACTGCCAGAAGTTGCAATTCCCAGTGCCAACCCCTTGAGTGGGCTATCATCGAAGCAGTGCTGGACGCTCACGGAGCTGGTGATTCCAAGGAAACTGAGCCCCATGGCTTGAAGAAAGCCAAAGGAGACAAGTAGAAAGTCCAGGCTTGGGGCCATACTGCTGAGTACCAGTCCCAAGAACGCTAGTACAGAGCCAATCACTGCCGATAGCCGGAAGCCCAGTACTGGAACCAAAATTCCGGCGGGCATACCTAAAGTGGAAAAAAAGTTCACAAAAAAGTTTTAAAAAGTACGAAAAAAGGCAAATAGAATAACATGCAACGTACTAGCACTCAATTTTCCTTATGATCACTTACTTAGCACAATAACACTATATTGATGTCAGGTATTCTGGGAGGGTGTATTGACTGCGTTAGGGTGGGCGCTTCCACGGCAGATTCAGCGAAACACGCTTTAATAGACTCTATTTCAAGAAGTACTAGTAGACTCTTCATTGCAACCTCTGTGGTCTTTATTTAGTTAGGTCCTTTTCACTTGAAGTGTTATAGTTTAGCTATACAATCTACCGGTGCACTTTGCGAGTTTGGTAACGTATAAAATACGCGGCTTTCATGTAACCTCAATATAGAAAGGGTCTTAAGCAGTTAGCACAGTGTGAATGGGCCAGTATGCTGGTTCCTGAACACAGGTGTGACAGTAATGGTTGTACTAGGAATGGCAGTCCAGAGTCCCATATTATGAGTACAGGATAAGATTAGTCGGAGTATTGGGGTTAGTATATAAGACAAAAGTCACCTGTACAAAGTAATTGGGTAAGGACTACGGTTCCTAGAAGACTACCATTCCTGCCACAGCAAGGGTGTGTAATAGGAGCAGTGCAACCAAGCGCCCTCTTCCAAAAGCTACAACTAAAAGTGATTCCTGATAAAAGCAACTACATTTGTTCACGCCCCCTCCACAGCTACGCGCGCATTACTCACCAAACAATCCAAAGGCGCAAAGGAGTAAAGCTAAAATCCATGCAATACTTTCTTCTTTTGCTTTGAAATAATCCGACAATAAGCCAATATACAGGCCTGATGAATACTCAACTCCATTGAAGAGACTATGGTAATAAAACGAACTAAATATCACGGCGAATTTATCCGTTGTCATGTTACTCGCTTGTACTCCTCCTGTTGCTTGTTCTCTTTTAAAGTACTGAAAGTGAACTCATAAGAATATTAAGTCGATATTTTTACCACTTTTAAGAGTACCGTTCTTTAGAAAAAGCATCTACCGGTATTACACACGGCCAACAGGAAGACGGCCATGGTCCCCAAGCCGGCACCTAAAAAATGACAACGCAGCTTTTACTTGTATATTGCGTCCTCTAGCTCTAGATCTGCGACCAAGTCAAACTCTTGTT